ATTTTGTCTTCTTCAAAGATAAGACAGATGATTATTGCAATAAAAAACTGATTGCATATTTAGATGCCTGACTGTTTTAAAGTTGCAAGCAAAGGCATCACGGTGATGCTTTCACATAGTTTTCCTTTTGTCAGAGACACCCCAAAATTGCATAACGTATACCGAGTTTAAAGACTGATTAATTCAGAAAAATTACCTCCACAATATGAATGAATCAAACAGCATCTAATCAGTCTATGATGCATAGAACACCTTACAGAGCTGAGCCATTTCCGCAAAATCACTGACTGTCAAACTCCAGCAGTCTGCTGTTGATGTCAAGATTAGCAACAGCATATTCTTGTCTTGGGATTTGCATTATTTTATATTAAATATTAAATTGGATTTAATTATTAAATTTGATTTAAGTTGGCCATGTTAAACTCTTTGTATTGTAACATTACATATCTGGATCACCTGAAGAGAAGGATATGTGACTGAGAATACTACACATATTAATTTAATTAAAGACAATACATTACAATATTGTTGTTGTGCTTTGTTTATATGTGTAAGTTCTGAATTCATTCATTGAAGTTGATAATTAATCTATAAATATTACACTGAAACCAGTGATAAATAATAAATACTGTAACAGATTCATTGTAACTGCCAGCTTGACCCTACTGGTAGCAACAATGTAACTGTAGCACAACCGTACACCTCTGTTGTAGTGTCTTTATATATGTACTGATATGCAGTACATGACTATGATATGCACTGATATTCTTTTGTCGACTTCCTCATATACTACCACACGTTCCTCTTTTGTCACCCTATCACATGCTTTCTTGAGATCCCAAAGACGCAGTTCTCCATTAACAATCTCCAAACAAACAGCAGTAGGTTCATTCTTTTGTCCCATGAATCCATGTTGCTGTTTGTTTATTGGCAACTCCTCTCTTAAGCTAGTTTCAACAATTCTTGCCCATATTTTCATTGGATGGGTGAAGAACTTAATGCATCAGTAGATACTACAGCTTTAGGCATATCATTTTTTGTTTGTTTGTTTCATCTGTACCACTAAACTTCTTCTCCACCACTAAACTTGGTGAAATTGTGTCGAACAATCTAGTTAACCACACTTTCATAGATCTCTCCATACCTCCACAGGTACACCCTATGGACCAACCACTTTTCCACTCTTCATAGCTGCCCTCCATACTAATCTTCTGCATCTCCTCATTCACTGTCTTTACTCCATCAAATCTCCTCTTCCTCTCATTTTATTCAGTCATCAGCTCCTCAAAATACCCCTTTCACCAACTCAACATGTTTCTCACGTGCAGTCCTATCTCTATCCCTAATCACCCAAACCAGTCTGATCCAGCCACACTGATCCAAATGTGATTTAAAAAGATTTTACACAAAATGTCCTTCATGGCCCAACCCTCCACTTGTATCCCAGTTTAGGACCACTTATAGGAATACACTGGCTCGTTTTTTGTGCTTTCTTCTTTTACCTCGACAACTGCTGCTTTCAAATTATTGTTACAGGAGGTTACAATGTGGTGTGAGACGTCTGAATGTTTTTCATGAACTGGTTCATCATAAGTTTGTAGTCAATGACTGCCTGTAAAAAAAAAACAATCACCATGAATGCCTCATTACAATTTTTAGCAGATAAAACTAGAAAAAGAAATTAAATGCACATGAATTTTACTTTTTTTTTTTTAATTCTTCAGTACAATTCTTCAAAGTACTTCAGTGTATTGTTATACATTTTAAAGGTTGTTAAACTGCTTGCACTGTTACACAGTAATGTTTATTAAAACAATTTTAGGAGAAATGTCTGGAAAGAAATAGTGAACAGAACAAAATGTGGATCGGAGTGAACTGAAACTCTAAGTGTAGCTGAAAGAACAGACTCGCTCAAAAACTGCACACAGGCTGGTTTGTAATTGAATGCGTGCCTCAGTCACGCCTCATTTTGGTTTCAACATGAACCGCTTCAGGTACCTGCCGCTGCTATGTTTCCTCTCTCCACTTGTGGTGGGTGAGTAATTCTTTATTTTTATCTATAGATATCAAGTCACATATACATTGTACATCATTTTTAAGTGTTCTTCATTTCATGCAGTAGTAGTGACAGTTTCAACATCTGCACGACCATTTGATAGATTTGTAAAATGTATAAACCTGTCCTTTAGCATTTTTGGATCACATTTAAAGGCATGCAATCAATAAGACTTTACACATATGCAGCTCTGAGGAACACATTAGTGCAGCATCAACGTAAAATAACCACGTGTTTAGCAGGTACAGTGTTTAAAACTCAAAATTTGATGGTAGTTCATTCAGTCATGGTGTATTTCAGTCTAAACCACTGGTGTCAAACTCACTCAAAAGGGACCAAATGCGATCTCTAATGGGCTGAATCTACAAAACAATTGCATGAAAACCCATTAAAATATTGTGCTTTTCCTTTTATCTTAAAAAAGTTTCTGAGTTTCAAAACACATAGGGGTCCGCTTAAGAAATATCAGCAATGTGTCTCACGTTTTCCACATCCCATCATTATTCAGTATCCGAAGAAACTTTTTTGCACAGCTTCTTGGCTTAATAGTATTTCTTTGTTAGTGAGACGACTATACAACTGACAGGGATTCAGGCCTCTCACTCAGACTGGGTTAAAAAATCATTGTCATGATGTGAAATGTTGCTGTTTCACACAAAGCTTCTCAGTACAAAGTGAAAAGTATATTTTATTTAAAAGTCCGGCTCAGGCATGTTTTCTATGCCATATTCAGATGCACACTGACAGACTTTTCCATAATTACCTTAAAGAGAAGCTGAATACAATGCC